TTGTTGACACTGCCTGTCTACCTACCCGCACCAAGGAGTCTGTTTAGTCTGCAGCTAAACAGACTCCTTCTGGATCATGGGTTGGATAAACCTCAGAAGTTCAGGGCAAGTAACTGGGCAGAGGAAACCAAGATAACAAGTAGATGGGATTACTCAGGAGGGGCTCCTTCTGTAGGCCTCTTCAGAACATAGGATGAGTCAGACTATTGATTCATCTTAGCCCATCTTATCAACTCTGRCTTGGCAGTAGCTTTTCAGAATTCCTTCCCTGGAGTTATCAATCAAGTATTCCATRCTGGTCTCCTCTGCTAGCTTCTGAAATCAGATAAGAACTATCATCTTTAGGATGGCATGGCAATTCAAGCMCCCCCCCCCCCCCCAAATAAGAATCACCCTGGAATCAACATTGAATCAATGTTGTGGTTGGGGGGAGAATAGGAAGGGGAGAGGCCGGCTTTAGCACAGCAAGTTAATCATCAGCTGCAACTGGAGTAAATCTTGCCAACCAAAAAGTTGACAGTTTGGAGCTGGGTCAGGGTGAGTTCTTGACCTTCATACCATTTACCCCACCATCTAGCAAATTGAAAACAGCAACGTGAGTAGATGAATAGGAACCGCATTAAGTGGGGAGGTATTTTAGGCATGGCATTCAGTGGAAAGTTTACAAAACAAAAAAAACTCTTCAGCAAGGAGATGGAGCAACAGCACCCCCTGTGGCCAGAACTGAGCACAGCCTCCAAAAGATGTGTATGATTAGAAAAAGTCTAAATATACCTATATCTGTTGTCTGTGTTGTCATTGTATAATTGGCATTGAGTGTTTGCCGTATATGTGTTCTGTGATCCGCCCTGAGTCCCCTTCCAGATGAGAAGGGCAGAATATAAGTATTGTAAATGAATAAATAAAATAGTTGATTCTTTCCTCATTTTTTCTCCTACCCATGTTTATTATTGCATGTCCCGTTGTTAATTTAATAGAGTTATTTGTGCCACACGGTAGATTAATTTACCTCAATTAAGAATATGCAAGACTAGATTCCATGCTGAATGATCAGGTTGCACCTGCACATACTGACACATTTTTTAAAGTTCAAAGCTGTCTTGAGCCCTCCTGCTGTGTGTATATTTTATGAAAAATGTTCAATGCTGGCCCAAGAAGGCTGGAAACTGCTATACTTCATTTCTGTGTGCAAATTTAATTAAACATTGTGATATTATTGCACTGATATGATACAATTATTCTTTACACAGGATGCTCCTGTTTCTTTTATAGGTTGTAAACATGTTGCTCAGTTAATCTTACTCTTATAAATCACTTGTAGCAAGTTGTACACAATTAAAATGGATCAGAGAGAATTAGGGAGGGTTCTAATTCACCAAATATTTGGGTGGAACCAAGGAAGTAACATTACTCACTGTGTGAAGTAATAAATAGTTGTGTGAACCTTATATTTATTTTATTTTAAAATTTTATATACAGAACTTCAGCAATGTTTCCATTATAGTCTTCAAAGCAAAAAGCAAATAAAATTCAAGAAATGCTAGCACCTGATATAACTAAATCACACCAAGAATAAAAGCAATGAAATGTTTAAGGTTAAATCCAATTACTCCTAACTAGAATAGATCTATTGAATCAATGTGTGCTTGGTAAATTCTATAGATTTGTTGGATCTAGAGATTAATTTAAAGGTTTCATGGAGGGCACAATTTGGAGAACAGTGTTTACATCAGGCAATGTTCTCTGGGGAGAAAATTGCAAAAATTGGTCACACATGTAGTCTAGCTCAATGCAGTTAATCTGCATTCTGAAGATGGATTATATGGCAGTGTAGATTCATCCTGAGAAGAGTCTTTCTGTATCTCTGGACACAAACTTCTTTACCTCAGACGTTAGGTGCAACTGTTGGAGCGTCTCCAAAAATGACCTTATTGCATAGACAGCCAAACTATGCAGAGCTGTCGGATTGAGCCCCAGCATTTGATCTTCATTGGAAAACTATTGCTGGCTGGCCATTATGTTATATATACACCATGCAGTTGACTTATCTTTTCCTTACTTACAATTAGTGAATGAGGGGTTCATATTGGCTGGAGGAGGAAGTTTAAACTTCTGCTCACCATGCATAGTACTTTTGATTTTGATGAGGACCCTCTAGACTTAACTGAGCAAAGAAAAAAACAGGGGACAACTCCTTGCAACATGTTTAATGTAGTATATCGTTGTACCCTGGATATCTATTATATAGTTTGGATATCCAACTTTATCCAAACTATATGATAGATATCCAGGGTACAATGATTAGGACACCACATTAAGGCAACAATCCTAAACATACTTGTCAAAAGACATCTACCCCATTGGACAAAATTAAGACTTAATCCCAAATAAATATGGATAAAATTATGCTACTTGTAGGATTCAAATAATGTAGATAAACCCTTTTAAGATGAATACTTATATAATACCCTAAATTTTCAATGTCTCCCCCTTCCCTAGAGTGATTCAAGTACTGACACTTCATTCTCTTTTTTTTTCCTTTTCATATCAAGCCAATATAACACCATCTTCACACATGCAGGGAAATATCACTAAATCTAAGAAAGCTCTAAAGCTTGCCAAAGGTAAAAAAAGAGCATAGTAAAAAGAGATCCCAGGCAAAGAATCAAAATAGTCTCAAAAGGGATAAGGATTGGAATACACTGTTGTGGAGGAAGACATTAAATGGCCAAAAGGAACATTCCCTAAAAAATGCAATTCCTGTTTTTTTAATCAATAGTATTGGAGCCCCCAGTGGTGCCATGGGTTAAACACTTGTGCCAGAAGGACTGCTGACCGAAAGGTCGGCGATTCAAATCCAGGGAGCAGGGTGAGCTCCCATCTGTCAGCTCCAGCTTCCCATGCAGGGACATGAGAGAAGCCTCCCATAGGATGGTAAAACACTCAGGCACCCCCTGGACAACGTCCTTGCAGACAGCCAATTCTCTCACACCAGAAGCGACTTGCAGTTTCTCAAATCACTACTGACAATAAAAAAAATCAATAGCATCCACAGAAAGAGACATGGGAAAGCAGAAAAGGAATTAAAATGAGAAATGTGCAACATGGTATCTGTCCTTTGTTAATACAGGACTACAATAAAGAAAACATACTTTTACTGTACTATTATATAAAATAATATTTGTTTGTGGTTCTTATAACTGAAATAGCAAATAGTGTTTGAAATATTTGGTAACTCTTTCTTTCCATATTGAAGAATTATGACAAAGTGAAAAAGGAGCCAGAGTTGTATAGAAATTGAAGGCATTTCGTAACAGACATTTAGATCATTGTAGAAAAGTCGGAACATTTCCCCTTATTATTGCTAAGCATTTGCTCACTTACATATTTATTGCTTGTATTCCAATGGTCAATAAGGCGAAGTTTGTGGCTGTTTTTGACCATTGAGTCTCGTTCCTGTTAATATATCCTACCAGTGATCCACTCTTTAGAGGGTGCAGCATGTCCAGGTTGGACTACAAAATGTCCCTGTCACAAATCCTGAAGAGGTACTTCTGAATAGTGTAGATCTTCATTTTTAAATATAAAAATATAGTTTATTCCCTCCCCTCATTTATGGGTTTCTTGTTTGAGTACAGTACTTGAGTATTCAGATAGGTTTCCTTGTCCCACTCCTTCTGCTGCCCTTCTGCTTGTCCTTCCATGTCCGACCAGCACTACCAACTCACCACTCAATTTACCACCTACCCACCATAAAGATTAAATCAGATTTTAACTCCCTTTCCCAAAAACCCACCTCCTCACCTCTCTCATTTTGGTGCCCCACCACCTGTTCTTCCATGCCCTTCCAACAGAATTTAAAACCTGGATGAGACTTTGCAATAGGAAGGTGGTAGGCTTGTCGTCCTGTCAGGACATGGAAAGACAGGTAAATGAAGCAGCAGAAGGAACGAGGCATGAAAGGAGATTTGAGAGAAAGGGTTTTAAAATCTGATTGAAGCTTTATGGAGGAAAGGTGGAAAAGGGAATGACTGGAGCAGGCTTGTTGTTTGTAGCATGAATGTTGGTGGCAGATTTATAGTCACAGTTTTCCCATTTCATTTGGATTCCTGGGCACCTAACTTGGTCTCAGATATTTCTGTTTACAAGTAACACGTATTGCCGAAACACTATAGCCTACATTTTCTTATTAGTTTCAATTGGAATAGACTCATTAAATTAATGGAATGAGTCTATGTGTTAATTCACCATTCAGTAATTGAATAAATGGTTATAATCTAGTTTGGATTAACCAACAGGAGGCCATCCTAAGTGTGCATATGGTGTGCATACATACCCTCAAGTTTCTTGTTGATTTATGGCAACCTCTTTCATTTCATAGATTTTTTTTATAGACAAGGAATATTTAGAGATGATTTTTTAGGTCCTTCCTCTGAAATATAGCCTCTGGCAGCTGTTATTCATCGGCAAACCAAGTACTGACCAGGAGTGACTCTTTTCAGCTTGTAAAATCAGACAGGTTCTGATGCTTTTAGGTAATGTAAGCCATATTAATCCAAGACAGGGGTCCTCAAACTAAGGCCCGAGTGCCGGATATGGCCCTCCAAGATCATTTACCCAGCCCTCGCTCAGTGTCAACTTAAATCTGAAACGACTTGAAAGCACACAACAACAACAAAAACAACAACAATCTTATCAGCCAAAAGCAGGCCCACATTTCCCATTGAAATACTAATAAGTTTATATTTGTTTAAAATGTTCATTTTAATTATTGAATTGTTTTAAAGTGGCTTTTTTGCACTACAAATAAGATACGTGCAGTGTTCATAGGAATTCATTCATGTTTTTTTTTCAAATTATAATCCGGCCCTCCAACAGTTTGAGGGACTGTGACCTGGCCCTCTGTTTAAAAAGTGTGAAGACCCCTGGCATAAGATAAGGTATACAAGTTGCTCAGTATGTGTTATATTAAATTGTTGTACCGTTTCCATCTTTTTCAGAACATGAGGGTACGGACAGTAAAAGGACAAGATTATTTCTCTAAATCGGGGGCAAAATTCCATGGGAAAATGGAGCAGAGGTTTCTTCTTGTTGACTGTAAGAAAGTTATGTATGGTACATATAGGTAAGAACCAACATACATGGGGTAATCTATATAGATACAGTAGAGTCTCACTTACCCAACTTTGGCTCATCCAATGTTTTGTATTATCCAATGCAGTCTGCCTTTCACCTGGATCCACATGGCAATGTTTTGGTGCTAAATTGGTAAATACAGGAATTACTACATAACGTTACCGTGTATTGAACTGCTTTTTCTGTTGATTTTTCTTGTAAAACACGATGTTTTGGTGCTTAATTTGTAAAATCATAATGTAATTTGATGTTCAATAGGCTTTTCCTTATTCCCTCCTTATTATTCAACATTTTCACTTATGTAATATTCTGCCGGTCCATTTATGTTAGATAAGTGAGACTACAGGAAACATTGAACATGATGTTAAAGCTCATGCTATATCAATTGCTTTATTTGGGATTTCTATATTATTTATCCTAGGAATTTCAGTAGATATGCTCTCTTTAATAATAATAATAATCATCATCATCATCTTTATTTATATCCCACCTCCATCTCCCCAAAGGGACTTGGGGCATCTAACATGAGCCTGAGCCTAATAGTTACAACAAAGCTAATGAATACAACATACAATCATAAAATAATACATAAATTAATATACAATAAAATATATGGAAAGAAAGAAGGAGAGTAATGCAAAATAAACACAGGGTACGACAAAATAAGAAGGACATTAAACCGAATGGCAGGCCAAGTACAATGGATAGGATTTTAAATACTGTTTGAATCTGCACTAGTCACTGTAGATCCATATCATGCAGTTAAACTCCATTATATGGGACACTATATAAGGCCCATGTAATGCAGCTACATTCCATTAGGGTATTTCTTTAGAGAGTTTCCTTCATGTGCTTATTAGACATGTATTGTACTACTACTACTACTACTACTACTACTTTATTTATTACCTGCCTCTTCTTATGGATCGGCGTGGGACACAACATAGTCTTACATATAGGGCTGTACATGCACCTTATTCTTTGCAGTTTGGGCAAAGAATAATAAAACTAAATATTAAAAATAAATATTTATTGGGGTTTTTTTATTAAAAAAAAACCTTTCTATTGAGAGCAGTGGTTGCCAAAGTTTAGCTATAGATTCCAGAATCGCAGGTCTAGCTTCTTAGTTCATAAAGCCAACAAGATTTAGTGAATCCAAGTTTGGGAAGCACTAATTTTCAACCTTTAACACTCCAACATGGAAAGACTTCTATTTATTTGTATTTAAAATTTATATCCCACCTCCAAGCAGCTTACAAAAGCTGGCTACCAGAATAATATTTACACTAATGAAAAGAGAATAATCCCTGCCTTCTGTTTCACAATGTAAAATGATATGACATTGAAAGAAAGAAAGATGGAGCAATTCTTAATGTGTTATGAAGGCCAGTTGCAATAGAATACGCAGCTTGGAATGTCACGTTATTAAGTGTGGAGGCTTACTAAATAAACATTCCTAGAAATGGCCTTTGTGAAGAGAGATGAAAAACCCAGTACAGCAGAAACAAACGGAAATTATATTTGCTTTTTCAATTTATATTCTGCCTCTCTCCCATTAAGGGTCCTAAAATAGCAAAGAAGATGGGTAAAATAACATATTTAGCTAAAAACAATCCTTTATAAAGCCAGGGCACTATACCAAAAATGGCACTTCACCTCACTGCCTGCTGTTTTCTTTCCTCACAGGATAGTTAGAATCGATAGTCTTGGTGAGGCAGCCAGTGGAGTAGTAGGCAATAATAACTACAGTTGATTACTGACTTCAAGGTCTTCCCATAATTTACTTAAAAGCTACATTCTGATTGCCTCTGCTTATTGTAAGAATGATGGTTACAGAGTTTTTAAAAATTAGTCTATGATATACATTTGTAAAAATCTTCTGGATTTCTGGTTCTTAATTTGGTTCTTCTTTTGTTGCATTCAGATGAAACAGTTGAAGGTAAGGTAATCTGTGTTCCAGCTTTCACACACAAAGTGTCCCTCGGCATAATTTATGCATCAGAGCTTGGTTGCAAAAGTATTATAATTTGAAGGTGCAGTGCTGATAGAAATCAATTAGATTATATTAAGGATTGCTGCCAAAACAGTGAATCTACAAATTTTGATGGCACAACTTGTTGTTGGAGGCATTCCATTCTTGCAGGAAAAGATAGTTTCCACAGATTTCTCCCTACTGCAGAAAAAAAAAAGAAAATTTCTGTGCAGCTTCAGAAAGTTATTCTGCACAGATGTGCCTTTGGTCTTTGTTTGGTTTTTGTTTTCACAAAGAGAGATAAAGAAATCCTGTATTACCTTTGAGAGTAATTGAAAAAAAGAAATTTCTAGCATTGTATTTCTTAGACTCATCAGATGCAATGGCTCTCTAAGTTTATAGCATCCTAATGCAAAATGTGTAAGCCCTGAAAAAATGGAAAGCTGTCACTTTTTAAACCTTTGCAGTGCTGTGGTGTGTTCCTTCTAATTATTTACTTTATTTATTTATTTATTTATCACATTTGTATCCCACCTTTCTCACCCCGAAGGAGATTCAGAGATGCCTTACAACAGGGAGTTGTTTGATGTCATACATATATAAGTCCTTAAAAAACAAATACAATTACAACCCAAACAGTTGGGTTGTAAAATCATGCAATCCAAATCATAATCCAGGACCTTTCCAATTGTCAATCAAATTCATTAGTGGTCACTTATTGTACTGCTCCAATTACTGATCAAAGGCTTGGTCCCAAAGCCAAGTTTTTTCTGAATGTCAGAAGAGAGGGGGCTGATCTAATTTCACTGGAGAAGGAGTTCCATAGATGAGGGGCCACCACTGAGAAGGCCCTGTCTCTCATCCCCACCAGTCTCACCTGTGAAGGAGGTGGGACCAAGAGCAGGGTCTCCTCAGACGTTCTTAACCTCCGAGGTGGATCATAGAGGGAGATGCGTTTGGACAATAATAAAGAGAAGCACATATATAGGAGATGTTTGCATTTGCACACACAATTCCAACTGGTGAAAAATGTCCCCATATTAGATAACATTACAGGTAGCCAAGACACATTGAATGTGTTAAGAGAAATAAGTGTGGTGTTGAATGTACAGATGTACTTAGTAAAATTATTGTAATCTACTTTAAAAATAATAATAATAATAATGGCTTTATTTTCCTAGTGTATGTTTACAAAGAAAAATGGTTCCTCTCCCTTTAGAGATATATTATCATATGCAACACATTGTTAGTTTTAAAAATAACTCAAAAAAATAATAAATGAAAGTGTTTTCTTACTCCTGAGTTGGATTGTTAATGATCTTTTCTTCATCTTTCAGCTTTATGTGGTCATTTGAAAAAGCCAACCTCAGCATGGTCCAGATTATCACGGGACAACTTGTTGAATCTTTTGATGAAGAATTTAGGACATTATATGCTCGTTCTTCTATTCCCAGTTCATTTGCTCCAGAATTAGTTAGGATTAATAGTCGCCGAATGCTATGGGAAAATGATGCATACCAACATTCACATTCTTCCTTAGCTTCACTTTCTAGTCAGCATAACCTTTTGGGGAAACAAGACAGGATTCATAACATAGATCCCAACTTTCTGAAAAGCCGAGTGACTGGCAGATATGGATTAAATGACAATGACAAATTTGGGACTAGAAACCAGCAATTTCAAAAAACACAGTTTGCACCAGGCTTTCATATGCAAAATAGAATCCAGCAGTATCAACCCAATGAAGTAAGTGAACATTGGAAAAGACACAGTTATGCAGGAGAGAAACCAGAAAGGACTCCATATTTACTGCTCAACAGAGCAATTAATCGGGCAAATAAACCACCAAATACTTGGAAAGTACCATCTGATAGTCTCAGCATGAAATCGTCATTGCATGGAAGCTATACTGGTCACAATGGGCATCAAAAGGGTTTAGCTGATCGTCTTTCACAGCCAAAGCTCAATATTGCAGATAGGAACTCAGTTGTACGGAGATCTTTCAATGGAACAGACAATCACATTCGCTTTCTCCAGCAGAAAATGCCAACTCTTGAGCGCACCACAAAATCTTTTCTACGTAATTGGCGTATTGAATCATACTTAAATGATCAATCAGATTTTCCAGAAGATGCAAATGGTTCAGGGGCAGGTGAGAGAGGTGACGGCTACGATGCAGCAGAAAATATCAAAGCCCTTGCTCTTTATACCCATTCTCGCCTACGCTCCTCATTTGTTTTTAAGCCAACTCTGCCTGAACAGAAAGAAGTAAACAGCGGTGCAGGTTCCTCAAACTCAACTATCATTGGTTCAGAGGGTAGTATAACACCGAAAGCAACACCAAATCATATTCCCAAACTAGAGGATGTGGTTAATGACACAAAAGTGGAACCAAGTAATAATGTTCCACTGGAACCTGATGTAATAAAAAGCCAGAATCATCATATTTCAGAAGATGGAAAACCAAACAAGACTCCACCCGTTAATAGGGAGACATCCCCCTTCCTCTGTTCCACTCCGAGTATGAGTAGACGAGTTGAATTTCTGAAGAATCAACAGAATGAAAACATACTAAAAAGGAGAAGCTTTCCCATATTTGACCATTCAAAATCTAATTTGGATAATGGAGATGCGAAAGAGGTGTCCAGCTATGTTTATAGCACACTAAACAGGAACAGACTAAAGCAACCAGCAGCTATAAAGCCATGCCCAGAGGACAACGTAACAAATGGTAAAAGTTTACACAGTGTAACCAATCATCTTCCAGAGGACAATACAAACCCCAAAGATGAACCAAAAAGCCCCACCACACCCAATACCATTTCTGTGGCTGAATTATTTGAGTCTAGTAAAGAAGACCCCAGTAAAGATGCCTCAGCAAAAAAAGAGAGCAAACAATCCCCAAGTTTCCTGAAAAAAGGATCACAGAAATTAAGATCACTGCTGAATCTTTCACCAGACAAGAAAGAAGGTTTGTCAAAAAACAAAGCTCCTGCTTTCTACAGGATGTGTAGCAGTTCGGACACTCTGGTATCAGAAGGAGAAGAAATTCAAAAGCCCAAAGTGTCTGAAATCAAGATTGATTGTTCTCCAATAAGGAAAAGAACATCCTCATCCAATTCACAAGTGAGCCTGCATAGAAGCAAAGAGGATATTGCTGTGTCTCCAAAGTCCCTTAAGCCCCCTAAATCCCCTAAATCTCCCAAGCCTCCCAAATCCCCCAAGCCTCCAAAGTCACCAAAATCTCCAAAATCTCTACAACCTCCCTCTGATGAGACTATTAAAAGAAGTCCAACTCTGAAACCCTTGGAAAATAGGTTGTTAGAAGTACCTCCAGGTGACCCATCGGCACCCAGATTCAACACTGAACAGATTCAGTACCAAGATGTCAGGGAGAGGCATGCAAACGCAAGCCGTGAGCGGGTACCCCCTTCTGCTCCTGTTACAGTTTCTTCGCAAAGAGTCAATGCAGTGTCCCGTCACTCTTCTGCCACAAAGCCTACCGCTGAGCTCATCAGGCCTCGCCTGGGTGAAAGGCGGATTTACAGTCGCTTTGAGCAATTCTGCAACTTAGAAAGCCCTTCTCAGCCAGCAATAACTCAGCCAGTAAACAGCACCCAAAACAACAGTGCTCAGTTTTCAGAGGCAAGTAGCAAGACCGCAAGAAATAATTATGCAAGGAATAATCCAGTAGTTAATTACAACCCTGGTGTATACCACCCGTTGCATCCAAATGAAAACAAGTTTCGAGGAATTATGCAAAGATTTGGCAATTTTATATACAAAAACAAATGAAAATTATGGCATGTGTACATATCAGTGCTGTGGATACTTGATAAGTATAGACTAATGGGCAGCTTTTGTAAAGCTTAGCTAAAATTACTGCAGGGTTTAGATTACTGCTATACCTGTGTATAATATTAATTGCTCCAAAACTATGTTTCAGCATAAGTTTTGGAACTGGACATGTTTATATGTATTTATGGTATCTGAGATATAGTCAGAATCACCTCAAGACTGAATATTTTATGAATTTCAATAAGATGACTGGACAAGCCAAGGGAAGCATTTAAAACCTCAGCTACTTTCAATGTTTCAGGACACTTGTATATTATTATTTTCCTGCACAATAAAATGTTTTTTGTTATTATTTTATACTTGTGTTCTAAATGCCTTGCTGTTAAAGTTGTGCTTCACATTGCTTGAACACTCGTATTTTATGCAATGTAAGTCAATACTTGTGTTTTCTAGCCACAGGATTATATCTATGTGGTTGCCATTTTCAACAGCAATCACTTGTACATCATAACACCCAGTGTTAATATATGTTTAATCACTAAAGCAGTGGTTCTCAACCTCTAGGTCCCCAGGTGTTTTGGCTTACAACTCCCAGAAATTCCAGCCAGTTTATCAGCTGTTAGGTTTCTGGGAGTTGAAGGACAAAACGTCTGAAGACCCGCAGGTTAAGAACCACCCCACTAAAGGAATGTACTGTATATACCCATGTGCAAGTCTAGAAATTTCAGTAAACAAATTGACTCCAAAAACCTATCCATGGATCAATGTTAGTACTGTACCTTAACATTCAGCAAAAAAGGAACCAGCTGCTTCTCAGAGTAGAATGTCAAATAGCAAGAGCTTGGAGAACCCAAAAGAACCACCAGCTGCCTCTACTTTCTCCACTTCAATGTGGCTTCTAGCCTTTTTGAATCCCTAGATGTGAAAAATGATGGTGATGACCTGGAGTGATTAGCCCCCTGTGGTAGCATTGGCCCTTTCCTCCCAGTCTCCAGAATGACCCTCAACTTAACAATGGGTTGCAACCAAATCCATGATTTTGGCCCCAAAATCAGCCTTCAAGTAATACATGAGGTTGATTTATGAATTGACCGAGGCAAACAGCAGCCATTGATTAGGGAGTATATTGTGCTTCATCTTCATTGTAAGGATATTTCCACCTTTAATTTGTTAAAAAATTGTTTTTGTCCAAAACTTTCCCACATCTCAGAGGTAGTAATTTTGTAATGTTCCACACCATCTTCGTTTATTTTATTTTTCTGGTTATTTAACATTTAATGTTTACTGTTCTGATGTACTGTTCAAATATTTATTGTTCTAATGTAGCACAAATCCTATGTAAAATCATACTACGTATTTTTGACATTAATATTGAAATCTAAAATATATACAGAAATAAAGGCCAAGGAGAGGCCTTTATTTATTTTAGAAGTAAAATGGAACTCAACTTCCAGTCTCCTTCCCTATTAATTAAAAGCCTCCCATGGCCATCAATATGGAGAATGGGAATTAGCAAAATTGCTTCATTAGTACATGCGGAAAAGTGTGTGAGAGTACATGTAGGGTGTTGTTCCAAGCCAATACTTTGAAAAAATGAACTACATCTACACCTGTATCCATTTCAGTGTTGATAGGTATGACCCCATGAAACAAAATATATTTTTTTGGTTTGGTTCAGATATCACAATCTTGATAAACACTGGTTGTGAGAGTTAGAGTGTTGTTATGGATTTACCACTGTTGCTGTCTCTCCACATTGGTGTACCTTCCTACGCTCCCTACTTTTTGCAAGGATGTATAAAGCAACATTCACAGGTTAGATTCAACGTGGGTATATTCTGTTTCCGTCTGTACACAGACAGCTCAATGCAGAGGTAGAGTTTGTTGCATTATGCACTGGTTGCTGATCTATGTACTTCTATTATTCACATTCATCAGAATGTACAGATGCTCCTTTTGAGATTTCTGTGTTTATATTGCTGTTTTCATATTCAAACATCTTGATTAACGAGCAGTAAAAATAAGGAATTTTGCAATCTTTTAGAAACTCTTTTTTCATTAAGAAGTTTATTCATAAAAGTACTGGTACTTTACACAGAAATAAATCTTAGCACAATCTCAAAGGGGTTCGATAGCATTCTATTTCTTGGAAAAAATGATTAGTTCTATCTAAACCTTTATAAATAATTTTTTTGTATCAAGTTTTTAAAATAATTATTTACCCACCAAAAACACGCTTATAAAACAAAATTAAAATGCTAATGCAAGTCAAAATTATTTTCTGACAAGTATTTAGTTAATGACAAGGGGAAAGTAGAGGAGCAAAAAGTAAACAGATTAGAGAACAATACATTTTAAGTCTCAAAAAAACCAGAAATAATGTGCCTGTTTAGGATTCGAGGCTTGTCTGCTGCTACATATTTCTTTGCTGGCATGCACAGAAATAGGTCTTATCCCACTCAAAGCTATAGCCAGACAAAGGTTGTGTTGGAGTTGCTAACAGCAGTCTTTTATACTCTTCTCTTGGGCTTTTTGACTCTCTTCCCTTTCCTCACTTCTCCTTCAGAATTTACACACACATTATCCTCTTCCAAATTTCCTGTAGGAATAATTTCATGTTAGGGATCACACCTTATAGTGAACTCATGTTCAACAATCGCAAATATATGCATTTCTTTCAATCAGGTATGCATGTAACTTCTCTGTACTCAGATTTAAGAGGATTCTTGTACCTCAGAACAAATCAGGAATAAACACAATTGTCGAGGTTTCACAACTATCTGAACCTATGTACATGTGGACACTCAAGTTGTCACCTCCCAATCATGGATTACGAATCTGCTACAAACTATTGTTTCAAATCTTGGTGTAGAGGCAAGTGATTAATCTCAAATGCCACTAAATTTGAAATGACAGCAAAGTATGGTTATGAAGAGCAGGGAAAGTGGAGAAGATCCTCAAGCAAAGGGAAAGAACATACAAGCTCAAGTCTGCAAACTCTGGCTGGATCCCCACTGCCATATAATGCAGTTCCAGAATTATATGGCATATATCCAGTTCAATGCAGCTCATTCTGCATTATATGTGCCCACACTGACCATGTAATGCAGTTCAAACTAGATTATTTGGCAGCATAGATCCAGCCTATGAGTTGAAAAATCCATGCATAACTTGACTTCAGATGCCCTGTATTATGCCTAATGCCTTTTCTTTTATATTCCTGATATTGCAAAATTGGATATTGTATAGTTAGCATATACAACATGGAAGCGTATTTACACATTTTGACATCTCATGGATATAAACACAGGGTACTTTTTGCACTGGTGTGACTTCATTGTGTTTATGCTTGGATGCATAGCACCCTAAGTCTTGGAAAATCAACCAGCATTAAAGGTACATATAGCTAGATCACACTTCTAGCCATCTCCTATATTAATTTTGAAAACCATAATCATTAGCAACAGCATTTGATCAAAATGTACGCAGCAGGTCAAAACAAAAACAGTTGGGAATATCATTTTCTGGGTAAGCATAATGTTCAGATATACTGGTTGAGAATGTCATAGCAATAACAGTCCATTATCACAGCCAGTATAAGTGAATTGTGAATGTCAAACTAAATCTTTACTCCTTTGTATACTGGATAGATGAATCAAATCATTTCTCTATGCTGTACAATAACAACCACAGGAACTGGAGAACCACAGAAATCAGAGTTTTTGGGCTACTAACTCAATAACAGCATGCATTGTACAATACATAGTACATTCTTGTACATCAAGAAAACACAAGAGCGCAAGATAACATAACTGCACTCCCATTTCATCATTCTCCATTGCCTACCATTTTCCATTGAAATCTGTGTTTGTACCCACCAACTCCGATTTCTGTGATTCTCTCAAGGTCTTCTGGTTTTTATTACACAGTATAGAGAAATGATTTTGATTCATCTATCCAATATTCAAAGCAGTAAAGATTTATTTTGACATTCACAATTCACTTCTACTGGATAATGGATTGTTATCACTATGGCATTCTCAGCTTATACTTGAGTATATATGGTACATCAATCAATTCTACAGCTTTCCAAAGATAACAAAAGGTGGAGGAGAACTTGCAAAGCTGCCAGTAGTGACTAGAACTGGGGAGTGGTAGAGTGGAGGACTAGGTAACTATATATTTTTTTCTATATCAGATTATGAACCCTATCTCATTTACTTGTATCTGCACTGCAGTGCAGCAGCTGGGGATGCCAGTGATAACACCTGGGGACCACCAGCATGCAAAACAGATGTTCTGCCTTCTCCATGCCCCCAACCTGACACTAGGGCCTAAGGCTAGGGTACCAGTGGTCATCCAGATGCTCATGGATTATAATTCTGGTCATATCTAGTTAACAATGCCAAGAATGAGGGATGATGAAAGAGGAGACTTAACAAGATGCATGATCCCCACCAGTTCAATAGAGGAAATCCTTGTACACAGCATTAAAATGTCCTTCATACACAAAAATATCTCAATCACAGCTAAAGTTTCACTTTTCTGCTTATTACAGCAAAAGATATGCTCAGTTTTCCATTTTTTTAAGTGCAAACAATTTGTTATAGAAAGCAGATTGGTTGGTTGGTTGGATGGTCTTTGCACATATTTATTATTTATTTATTTACAATATTTATATTCCACCCTTCTCATCCCGCAGGGGACTCAGGGCGGATTAAAATGTACACATACATGGCAAACATTCAATTCCATAGACACACAACACATATAGACAGACGGTCAGAGCCTATTTAACATTCCAATTTTCTGGCTACCAGGGGAGCTGTCGCTTCATCGTCCATCTGCGACAATGATGAAGTACTTTCTGCATTCCCCATATGCTTTTGCTGGAGATTTTTTATGGCCTCGCAAATTTGTTAAATTAGCCTCCCCACACATAAGTGGTACCTAAATTTCCTACTTGACAGATGCAACTGTCTTTCGGGTTGCAAAGGTCGACAACAAGCTACACAAATTGGCCGGAAGCTCACTCTGACCGGGCTGGCTTCAAACTCATGACCTTTCAGTCATTCGGTCAATCCATATTCTGAGTGAATGCTCAGTGAAGAAATGACATTCCTTCAGAAGTTTTTCAAGCACATGCTATTGCTTTAGTGATTCATTAAAACATATGATTTAAGTTCAGCTCTACCCACTTACCTGGGAGAAAGCCCAATTAAACGCTTTTAAGCTTTCTTCTGAGTAGCAATGTACAGAATTGTACTGTGACTTGTTTCTTTCCATCTTTGAAGTGGGTTAAAAGAAAGCTTTTAAGAAATTATATTTTACTATACCCAGTCTTGTACTCATTTG